TTATTCCACTGAACCATCTCCCCAGCCCTGAAATACATTTTTTCTAAAATATCTCAAGCTTTTGTGATAACTCTTGGAAATATGTCGAGTGATGCCAAATGCTACCTTTGTTTCACATGCTGTCCTAAACTCCTGCTTTATACTCACTCCTCGCTATATTATACCTCAAATAATCAGGATGCAACAATATTTATAAAATACGAGCCCTTATCCTGGGTGGATGTGTTTCTTTAGGCCCCCCTGATGGTCCCTGACACATGGCTAGCAAAAAACCCTATAAACCCTGTGTAATACTATTTTGTTACCTTATACTTAGGTACTTATAATTAAGTTTAACTTATAAATTAAGCACAGTGGGAAATTAATAGCAAGTAGCAGTATAATAGAACAATTATAACACTAATAAGTTATTTGCAACTTATAAATTGTTTATTTTTGGACTTGCCATTTAATATTTTCAGGCCATGGTGGACCCTAAGTAATTGAAATTGCAGGAAACCAAGCAAAACTAATGGGGAACAGGGGAAGAGTGAATCACATTCCATTTTTATGCAGTTTGGAAACATTGTTTGCTTGAAACATAATACCATTTTGTATATTTTCATTGTGATCCAATTTGAACTGATTGGGCAGATTTTTCACACATGGCATTATTAAACATATTAAACATTTTTTAAATGATCTAGCTATTTGACTTAATACATAGACCATAGCTTTTGCCATTTCTTCTTCAAATACATCAAATATTAAATGACATTTAGCCAAGCCATCTAGATATTTTGTCATTGTAGGACTTTTAAATGAAATAACAAAAACTCATTCCCCAAATTAAAAATTCAAATATTTCCAAAATGCACATATTTAGGGTTTATATAATTGATTGTATATCTAGTTGTCTAAGCGACTTATTATTAAGCACAAGAACATTTATTAAAAACTATAGTTAACTGAAATTCTGCATTCTTCATTCTAATTTAAATCATCCCTGACTTGATTATGACAGTAATATTTTAGACAAAGATATTATTATTGGTTTTGAGGCCCATATATTAGGCCTTTATGGTTCTGCTTCATTTATATATACATATATATTCATGTTTATATAAATAGAATATACATACATTCTCTTTGCTATTTTAAAATGACAAGTGAAGCAACTACAATGTGGTAGTGTAGTGGTCCACTCCTAGTCCTAGTTACAGGGTGTGAGAGTCTTGGAGGCAGGAGGATTACTTGCTCAATGGCTGGGCGAGATGGCGTGCTCCTGTAATCCCAGCACTCAGGAGACTGAGGCAATAGGATTGCTGCGAGTTTGAACCCAGCCTAGGATACTTCATGAGTTCAAACCCATCCTGAACTACATAGTAAGACCCTATCTCAAAAAATCCAAAAACCAAAAGCAACAAAAAATAACTAAGTAAATAAATAAAATGAAAGTAAACTATGTTCTAAGCTTATTAACATTTTGCCAAATTTGCTTCATTTATTTTTATGAAGCATATTAAAGTGAGTTCCAGACAATATAACTTCTGCACCTCTGGATTATCACTAAAGACAGGCATTTTCACAGTTTTATCTATAACCTTACACCACTATCATACATTATTAACGAGAATTCCTTAATATTCTAATTCCTAGGGCATTTTTAAATTTTCTCATTAATCCATGGAAGGATCTGTTATTTTATCAAAACAGAAGCAATTTGGGCCGGGGAGATGGCTCAGTGGAATAAGTGCTTCCTTGTCAAGTGCAAGGACCTGA